AACTGTACTGGTAATAAAGCATATATATATAAAAATGTGTTATCTAATTAAAAATTAAACATTTTATGATCACACTGACTAAAAGATTTTATTATGGTTTTATTAATGTTTCATTATGACAATACATTGTGTGGCTAAGAAACATTTATACAAACAACCTTATTTGTGTAATATTTGTTTAATGCAATGCATGTTTATTAACTTTAAAAAAAAAAAACAATCTTACAACCTGGTTTGCTGTATTATAAAAACAAATAGATTTTCTGTAATTTTTATTTGCAAAGTTAGCAAAGTACACCACTTGGCTAGCAAAGACAACATTCTTCTCTCAACAAAGCTACATTACAACACTTAAAAACTATAAACATGTAACATTATAACGCTTAACACACACTGAAACACTAAATTTTACAACAGGTGTTTACTTATTTATGGCACATAAACACTTACAAAATGTAAACCCATACGACCTTGACATACAAACACATAGTTAATAACACACATTACCACATCATATGACACATAAAAATATTAAAATATATTAATTAAGAAAAATATAGAAATAAGAAACATTTACTCATACAACCTTTTTTCTGCAATACTTGTTTGTTATATTATAAAACCAAAAATTTATTTGGTTTTATAATATAACAAACGACCTGGTTTGATATATTATAATAGCAAGTAGGATTTCTGGCATTTTTATTAGTGATTGATATTTTCAAAGTTATTTAAATTCTATTTAAAAAATCTATAACAACTGGGTTTTTAATAACATCAACTGGTTTTCAGTAACGAATTATGTTTTCTTTAATAATTTATAAAAAACATGGTGTTTAATAGTAAAACAAGAATTTTATGTAGATATAATTCGTAAATAACATTTATTGAGTGACATGTAATAAATTACCTTGTGATAAATGTTCATCCGCTTTAAAAAAATAATTTGAAAAAAATGAGGACTTGAATTGTGATATTATTAAAATGCAAATAAATATTATTTAAGTTACTTTACTAATTTATAAATAATATAAGGTTTATCTACTACTACAGAATTTTATTTCACTAAATTATTATTTAATACAAAGGTTTTAGATCTTACAACTAATTAAGCAGATATTAACAGATTATAATAAAGATTTACGCATACCTTGTCGCATTGTTTAAAATATTAAGGGAAATTAGAAGACCATGTCTTAGAAAACCAAGCTATGTTTATGTAGAGTATTATAATGTATATGAAACTATTTTTAAATACTTTTTTATTTATTATTTATTTGATTATACTTATATTTAATATTTATTTCTGCTTTAGATTGTCTCAGTCTAAATTATTCCTTAAATGCTTTCCGTGATTTATTCATTGAATGTTTTTATGAAAGTCAATCATCGTTTACTAATAATGTAAAATCAATCGTTGATGAACGAGAGTGGAGTATTTTGATTGACGATAGAAAAACATCCTACGAAACTTCTTGCAATAATTATTTTGTTAATCATTACATAAAATCTGGAAGAAAGTTATCATGGTTAATCGTTAATAAAAATATTTTAAGTGATGAAGAAATAAATCTTTTAGCTCAATGCTCAAATAATGTTCGCGAAGTCTACTTTTTATGTCCAATTAATTTTGGGGGATGGAAACCGAAAGAGAATATTGAATTGTTGTGGATAAAAATCTCACGTTATTTAATAACAAAAAAAGATTTTGAAGAAAACTTTCTCCCTTGGATTATTCTTTGTGAAGAATTTTATCTTAGTCTCCATGACGACATTGATTTCTTGAAAGACATTTATAAATGGATACGTTATTTGAATATCAAGTCGTTGTTGATCGAATACCGTGGAAATGTTCTCCGTAACCTCAATGAATTGAAAAACTTTATAACGCCTAAAACTATTTAATGTTTAAAATATATAAACTAAAACTAATAATTATGATAACTATTAAATTATTTAACATTATTTTATAATTGAATATCTTTTAAGATGTACGATATTTTAATTTAAGATATAATTTATAAAATAAATTCAGATATAGTTTTTTAAATATATTAGATTTATTATTAAAAAGTTTACTAAAACTTTTTTTATTGAGATATTAAATTAGTAACAATGAAAAAATTTTGAGATTGTTAACAATAATAAAGAATAATTATTATTCTTTATAATAAAAGGGAATATATATAAAAATAATGAATACTTTATAATAATAATGAATAGTTACAATTTTTTTTAATAATTATTATTTAATAATTTAATTAATATAGTATAAATTATTTTACATAACTATTGTTATGGTATATAATTTTTATATTTTTTTAATGGAAAACAATGTGTATAATGATAATAATAATAAAATATTTTGAATTTAATTTTAGGTTCATTATTTAATTACCATTAACTATAAGTTTATTACACTGATTAAGAAATATTAAAATTAAGAAAAATAAACACTAGATTAATAATAATAATAATAATAATAATTTGTATTTATATATATAGCTCTTTAGAATAGTTTTTTTTTAATTTTGTGCTGTAATTTTCAATAAATTTCTGACAATTGAAAGTTTTAATAGATATATTCCAAAAACAAAATTACTTTGTAACAAAGTTGTTTTAACGCCTTTTCTATCATTAGAAAGATGTTTTAAATCTCCAATCGGCCAAACCTAAGAAAAACGTATTACATTTTTTACGATGTTATTTCTACGCTGCAAACAACAATAAAGCACAATGTTACACTGCTTAACACCTTGCTGTATTGTTCTTTTTTATTGTTTTATAAAGACATTCAAAGAGTTATATTAGTCCCAGGGTTCCCATTCCTCCTTAAAAACCTTAAATATCCTTAATAAATAAAAAACTCTTTAAAAGTCCCTAAATAACCTTAAAAAAGTTAAAATTTGACTGCTCTCCTTAAATTCTCATAATTTTTTTTTGTTTTTTTTTTTTTTATCTAAAATTTTATTAAAGCAAATGGATTATACTTATCTATAGAGAAGCATATAGCTACTTAGTTTACTTCTTTAATGAGTTAAAATCCTATATTTTTGTTTTATATATATATGTATGTATACGTATTAGTGCTCGCCTATATCTTCGTGAGAGTGCTTGATAAATTAAGTAAATTAAAATAATTTAAATTATAACAGAGCTGTATCTATATTTTTTTTATAAATAAAACTACATATTTTTCACTACTATAAGTTAGTGAAAAGTATTAGTTTTATTTTTAATATATATATATATATATATATATATATATATATATATATATATATATATATATATATATATATATATATATATATATGCCACATATATATCATATATCAGCCATTCGAGTATTAGAGATTTTTTTATTTTGTTTTTTTTGGCTTTTTGTATTTGACTTTCACTTTCTTTATAAATATTTATTTTGTTTTCTTTGTAATTGACTCTCTTTTTTAATTACAGCAATATATATACAACCTTTCAAATAAGAAAAAATGAGGTCAGCAATTTATTGCAATATTTTGCCGACCTCAAACACTTTAAGGTCAGCAGTTAGGTTGGCATTGCCGAATACCGACCCTAAATCAGAGGGTTATATATATATATATATATATATATATATATATATATATATATATATATATATATATATATATATATATATATATATATATATATATATATATATATATATATATATATATATATATATATTCTTTAAAAGTCATTTCTTGTTATACGATATATATATATATATATATATATAATATGTAAGTTGATTTTAATAAAAAGGCAGCGTATAACTATTTTTAAATATATTTTTTTTTACATCAAAATATATTTAAAAATAGTTATACGCTGCCTTTTTATTAAAATCAACTTACATATTATATATATATATATATATATATATATATATATATATATATATATATATATATATATATATATATATATATATATATATATATATATTTAAATAAAAGGTTAGATGAGAAAAAACAACTTTTTTACGGTACTTAAAGTTTCATGCCGTTTTCGGCACTCATCAGCCATTAATTATCTTATATTTTCGTGATATAAGATAATTTATATCACGAAGTGTTTTATTTAAATTTAAAAACGTTCTGATAAAAGATCTTAGCCTGCTTGATAACTTTGTGTGGCTTTTTGATGATGAGTCTTAAAATAAAGTTGTAAAGAAAGGTCAAATGGACTTACATGTGCGATATTGGAATAAAGAGAGTAATACTGTTTGCACAAGATATTATACTTCAGAGTTCATAGGAAATACCGCAGCCCCAGATATTCTAAATATGTTTAAATCCTGCATGACTGGTTTAAATGCTGAAAACATGCTTCAGGTTTCTATGGATGGCCCTAATGTAAATAAACTGTTTTTGGAAATGCTCAACAAAGAACGTCATAACAATGAATTAAGTACACTCATCGATATTGGTACCTGTGGTTTACATACACACTAAAAAATTATGCTGTTATATTGAACAAAAATATAACAGCATCGGGACACGATATAACAGCATAAATGGCGTTATTTTGTGTCATTATGGTGTTATTTTTCTAACTTATGCCGTTATATTTATTCAAATAACAGCAAAAATAACAGCAAAATGCTGTTATTTTATTATAAATAACAGCAAAATGCTGTTATATCGTTACCCAATGGCGTTATATTTGGCGTTATATTCAAAAACCTAGCTAACGGCATAATACCGTTATAATTTTTTAAACATGTTTTGTTTTTATTCAAGTAAAATCTAAAGTAACCATTGATATGTGTACATTATATATCTAATTAATAGCAATTATTTGAAGTATTTAATATTATAATTACTTATAATGCAATTATTACTAGTATAAAATATATATTAGAAATTAATTTTTATGTTTACAATGAAGAAATAAAATCATTTTAACATAATTTTAAATAAAACATCATAAATGTACCTTGTAAAAATAATTTCATATTAATGATAAGAATCTACAAATAAATTTTTATGCAACTGCTCAAACCAAAATTTTTAAAGATGTGTCAATAAATACGAAGTCAAAGCTTTACAAAATCAATTATTTCAAAGAAAGCTTTATATCCCAACTTGTTTACTTTTTTAAAGTAACAACTTAAATATAAAATTAAACATTTAATAAAATAATAAAGTAAACAATAAGCGTTACTTAATAACATCAAAAAATTTAGTCAACTGTTTATATGAGAAATATAAGAGCAAGTCTTCTTTGATTTTTTTTCAAAGCATTCATTTAGCAACATCTCTTGGAAAAGGCCCATCAGTTGTGAAAAAGAAGATGGATAAGAGAGATCTAACAAATAGTATATGCAAACAATAACGCATAAAACCTCTTTAATTGTACGTAAATCTGTGTTGATCATTTCGCATCCTGATCTACTGCGAACGCCATATTGTGTTGAATTATACAGAACTTGTGGACCGTACTTTGCAGGTATCTTCAACTCATCGAGCAGATCATCAGACTTAAAAAAAAACAAATCAAATTTTAATTAAATAATTTCCAGAAATTTAATTCAATTCAGGTATTTTCCAAATATTTTAAAAGATTTCGTTGTATCAGATAAAAATCATTACTATTCTATAAAAATAACTAAACAGGTTTGATTTTAATATTTTCAGCTACTACTATGAATTTTATTCTTTTCAGCTTTTAATCTATTTTTGCATTATAATTCACGTATTATATAAATGCTTTATACTAAGTTTATACTGAAATGTACATCTTGTATAAATATTTGTTTTAAACAAATAAATTCTACATTAAGCAGATTATTTAATACAAAAAGAATGTAGACATTTTCAGAAATTCATTATATGAAATAATTAAAAAGAATTGAACAGGTCCATAAAATATTTAATGTTACTTACTTCAGATTTCTTAAACAAGACATCCTTTGCTTTTTTGGAACATATTTTGCATTGTAAATCAAGCAAACTTTCAAGGTGATTTGAAGATCCTGCAAATGCTTTATTAACAAAAAACGTACACGCTTCTTCGATACTATACTGAGGGTAAAGGCGCTTAAACTCACCAATTATTAAACATGGAGACAGTGACAATCGAAGCGGGAGTTTTTCATATACTTTTGGTTGAAAAAGATTTCTGTTCAAAATTGCGAGAAAACTAATAGATGGTTTTGATTTTATCAGTTCATTCTAAAAAATATTAGGTTGAAAATACTGTAAAATCTAAAATAAACAATAAGGTGCACATAATCACTTAACCAACAAAAAATTATATATTATAAAATGTATAAAATACCATGCTTTGGTGCGTTGTGTATATAATCAGTCATAGTATTAAACTGGTTTTGAAACGCAGGCCATTTTTTATAGATTTCATAGCATAACTTGAACTTTATAAGGTGACTAGACTGAGAGTGCATCAGATCTTTTTAAAATGACTTTTTCTAGTGCAGACTTTGAAAATTTGAATGAATTCAATGCTGTTTTAGCTGCTATTGAGTTTCTATTTGTTGGAAACAGACCTCAATTATAATTGAAATATTAGATTACCTAGTTTATTTTATCCTCACCAAACCTAATCTAAAGTAGGCTGAGCACTAGTATAGAGAGGAACTTACGTGTTATAAGAGAATGGCCTGCGTTTCCAGACTGTTTAAATACTATGACAATGGTTTAATGTATACTTTATAAAATTACTTTATATAGTATACATTTTACAATTTTATAAAGTATTTTTAATCATAAAAAAGTATTAATTAGTGAAAAAAAATATATAATTATTAATTAGTAAAATATTTAAAGTATTGCTAATCATACTGCTGTCCAAATTAAGTTAGCATAATAATTAAACTAAAAATATTAGCTCAACTTCAAGAAGAAGCTGGTCTTCTGAAAGCACTGGTTCAGCTTTAGATAATGAATCCATAATATACGGAGACCTTTTAGGTTTTGAAATCTGCTGAAACTGTCTACTTACTGATCCATTTGAAATTGGATGACTTTTAGTCCAACGTTGTTGCCTAATTATGTTTGATACCTGGCTTAAAAGTGAATCCTAGGAGAATTTATTTTCAAAAACTATATCACTTAAGGGTACATAAATAAATACCTATTAAATACAACAACAATGAAAGCACTATATGAGCTGGTGAGAATCAGCATGGTGTAAGTTAAAAAAAAACAAACGAGTAAAATCAATATTCATGACTACAAAGCATCATTCTGTTAAATTTGAGACTGGTGTAGGGTGTAAATTTATATAAAGAAACTGGCAGCTTTTTCTTTTAGTTTGTAGGGTTTTCTCTACCATAAATCTGAAAAAACCTTTAAAATCTTAAACTGGGAAAATGTTGACTTACACCATGGTGATTCTCACGAGCTCATATGCATGCAGCGTAAACATACCTAAACAAATATTGTAGGGCCATTAAAGAAATTCTTACCCAGTGTTCCAAGCAGTTTGGAAAATTAAAAAGTAGTGTTGACTTAAGTTTGGAAAAAAACTCTCTCCGAACCCATGGATCATTGTCTGAAGGAAGAGCAACTTGACAGTATTGAAGAATATTATTTTTCAGCTATTTTTTTAAAATATCATTTGTCGCAACATTGTTTAAAAAGTTCAAAGTAGATGTATTAAAAAAAGTCCTCAGGTGAGAAACTTCATCAGAATCAAAAGGAACTGTTGAAATCTGATAAAATAAAGGTTTATTTAAACAGTAATTTCATATTTTAAATTTTTTTAATGTATTTTTGCTGTAAAAACTACAAAATTATTATAAAATTAACAAATTATTATAATGTGCATTAAAATGTAAATTCATATACATATATCAAAAAAAAATTTAGATTTGGCACTGCTAAAGGGAAAATATTGATTTTGCCATTCACAGAACTTGAAGAATTAGAATATTGGATGGTGCACCAAGGAAATATCAAAGTATCTGGATATATGACAACTTGTTCTGAAGATTCATAGCATATCAAATATGCTGAGTGTGCTTGTACCATAAGTTTAGAGCATTTAAAAGCCCGCTTGTCATTTTCTGATGATATTAAAAAGATTTTGTAGAATATCAACTTTTCTTCATGTAGGCATGAAATAATATCACCAATCTTGTAAATTATACCATTTACCTTAACAGAAATAATAGATCCTTTCTTAAACTTTAACTCGTCCACTTGTCCATACACATCACCCCGTCTTTTTCCAGCTGCATTAAAAAAAATTGCTTGCTGTATTAATAATCATCGTTTTACATGCTGAATATGGAATGTTCTTGAAGTTGAAGTGTCGAAAATTCTTCACAACTTGATGTTTTCTTTCATAAGCCATACACATATGTTCCCGTAGAGCCCCAAACTGTTTAGCTTGAGCAGGGTAGTGAATAAGGAAGTGTAACTTTGGAATGAATTTATTAGGATACAAACACAAAAATAAGCGATGATGATCTTGAATTAATGCTTTTAAATCAGATAAAAAAAGGGGAGTAACAATAGGAGACAAACACAATTGAAGCACTTGAATAAGTTTTGACAAACACATGAAATGGGCATCTGCTTGATCCATGTGCTCCAAGATAAAAAATGATATAACACGAGAAAGAGTCAAAGTTTGCCCACTGCTGAAACAACCATGAATCTGTATTGATGAATGTATCATATTAGGTTTTTCAATACCATTAGCATAGCTAAACCCTTGCAACCAGTCATTGATTTCTTGCAGAATAAAAAAATTGTTTTGAATGGCGTATGACAAAAATAATTCTAACTGAAGTGGAATGAGACCTTCCAACAAATCGTGCATAGGATCAAATAAAAGTTGTTTTGTCACATCAAATCCTGGAATGTTTGATAGTATACTTTTTGAAACAATGCCATAGTATTTAGACCATTTTAACTTATCAGGTTTGCTTAAACCAGAATTTAGTTCTGTTACACGTGTCATATGTTCAGCAGCAATTCGAATATTGCATTCTTCATGGTTAGAAAAATCTTTCATTTGTTGTCTGGTTGAGTTACAACTTCTGCAACAGCGAAATGTCTTTGCACTAAAGCCTTCTTTAAAACCTCCAATCGCATTTGCAGAAAGAGAGTCACCTGAGAAGTATACCACTTCAGCTGTAATTTTTTTAGAAATACCCATAACTTTAATAACAATTCCATTTTCCAGCTGGCTTATCGAAGAAATAAAATCACTAAAAAGAATGCTGTAAAAATTTTTATCTTTTTCCCATTTAGTAAGAGTAAAAATTAACGGAAAGATAGTAGACATTCTACCGCGATACAATGAAGGGATGTTTAAAATCTGAAAGTAAAAAACAAGCATTTTTTGCTTTTTACGCGCCTTTCCTAAAGGATTTGTTATTCCAAGGTCGTCACAATATATTCCAATTTTCATATGGTTTGTGTCCTTATTTACTGCTGTGAAGTCATTAATTTCTTGAGATTGTAATAAAAAAGACAACATTTTAATGAAAGGAATTATACAACCTTGCTTATTCAGACCAATTACTTTTGGAGTTGGAGCCTATAAATTATTCTTGTAATACTTTTCCTTTAAATATTGTGTTGACAGTTTATCACAAGTTGCTTTTAAAGCTTCTATGTCAATATTAAATACAGAAAGCATCGCCTTTAAATTACTGAAAATTATGTTTAAAACATTTTGAGCACATCTGTACTTTCCTTGTAAATGTAATGCCAAAGCTCCTAAATAATCTTCGTTAATTTTTGTGATACCAACTTGATTTACAACCTTGTTTTCTATTTCATTTTCAATAGTACAGATATTGTTCTGATTTTTGGAACATTTTTTGGAATGCTTTAGGAAACCTGAAAGGCTTTTAAATGTTGACAAACAAATTTCACAAAAAAACGGCTGCTTGGTTACCATGCAGTTTTAAGTGATGAAGCATATGACTATAAGTTGTAGTTTTACAATAGCAAATAGAACAGTTATAGTTTATTACCTTTTGTGGTGTCTTGGGGGTGTTTTCAGATACACCATTTTGTGCAACTGATGAAGATAGTTGTTTTACTGTAGGCTGGATAACATGAACACAACTCTCTTCAGCCATATATTGGTTTTCCGAGTTCCGACTTATTTTCTTTGGTGGTACCACAAAATCTACATAATCATTTAAAAGAGATGAAAATTGGCATAATGGAGATGATTGAGCTGTGTCAGCTTTATTTAAATCAGGTAAAAACCCAACTTGTTGAGAGTTGGGTATATTAACAAGTTGTGGAGCTTGAATAATAAGCTCTAAATTTTGTTCATTAAGAAGAGCAGTAAAGCTATTAGCAGTTACTTTACAGCTGTTCCACTTGACTTCTTCAATCATGGGCAAATTAAAGGTTTCACGAACTAAAACATAAAAGTATGTAAATATAACTTGGAATCATTGACAATCGTCCTTACATTATTGCTAATTCAAATCATTACACTAAAAAAGAAGTGCTATAGCACTGAAATATTAGTCAATAAAAATTGTTCATTAAAGTCATTAAAATTATATATAGTTTTATTTTAACAGTTTGAAGAAAATTGTAAGGTATTTTTAGATTTTGATTTGAAATGATACTATGACACTTGACTTTTATAATAACATGCACATTAATTAGTTATAATATATTATAACTATTTAGTATTTTTAATGCTTATAATAAATGCTCATGCATCTCAATAAAATAAAATATACCTACCAGCTGCACAAAATTCAAAAAAATTACTGCTGCTGGCAATAACTATTTTAAAGTTTTCTTTAAAATTAACTTTAATTGCTTTCATTTTTTTTTCACTTTTACCACCTCGTGCTATTGCTTTAGAAACTAACGTGTCAGTTTCAAAACTTCTTATTTTAATATGCCAAAATGTGGCAGCATTGCAATGATATTTTGCTATATATTTGATGTCACGTGTGACATCAAATATAACAGCAAGTATAAATGCAAAACCATCAGTAAAAATAACAGCAAATATAACAGCAAATATCTTTAAATATAACACTATAATATAACACCATAATATAACGGCAAACATAACACCAAAATAACGCCAAAATTGTTTTGTCTCTACCATTTTTTTTGTATCCGTGAATATAACAGCATATCCGTGAATATAACAGCATAAATAACGGCATAAAAGAATCAGCGTACATAAATGCTGTTATAATGCTGTTAGTTTTTTTAGTGTGTACTATCAATGGATCCTTACAAACTGGTGCTAAAGCTACTGATTGAAACTTAAAGAAGTTAATGTCTTCAATGTACCAAACAATTTATAAAAGTCCATCAAGAGCAAGTAATTATGAAACAATAGCTGAGGCAACAAGTTCAGATTTTCCTTACATGTTTTGTGGTACTCAATGGGCTAAAAATCAAAGTGTTGCCAAGAAAGCAATAGTTTGGTCAAAAGTAGTAATAGTTGTTGACTAATGCAAGTCTTTACCAAAGAGTAACCTGGATTTGGTAAATCAGGACAAAACACAAGCTTTAAAGATTTAAGTGCTCGAACAAATGAAGTTTTTGTTCCTTTAAAGTTTAAAAATTTTTTGAAGAAATTAGTGGCAGTCTAAATACGTTCCTTGGTACGTAATATTTAATCCAAATGCAATTGTATTGCTCTTTATGTAATTTTTTTTTATTATTATTACAAAAGTAAAAAAATATTCTGAGATATTCTTTTCATATTATTTTAAAATTTTGAGAAAAAATCACAAAAAGTTATTTTAAATCTTGCTTTTTTTTTCCTCTAGTTTTTTTTCAAACTGATAAACCAATGACTCCTTTTTTGGTGGTGACACTTAAAGAACTACTATGCAACTTTTATGCAAAGTTCATTTCAATTAGATATTCTTTTAAATGCCAAAACTACAAAATGTTAAAAATAGATTTTATTAAATAGTTAAATAAAAAAATAGTTTAATTTCGCAAACTGGCTTTCAACCAGCCAAATTGATGTTGGTTTTTCATTGAAGTATAATCTCCAGCAACTTAAGAGTAAGGTAAAGATTACTGTTGTTCAAATTGACAAGTTCAAAAAGTAAATATGTGATTTTCTTGTCTCAATGTGGACTCATATTATTGAGAAAAGCCCTTTGTCTTCACTGGTTGCTCGCTGCCTGGTGTGTATTTCCCCATCATTTATGGTTGAATATCCAGAAAAGTGTGATTATTTTTTTGACAAACAGTTGATGAAGCTTGTTACTTAGAAAATTAGAGCTTCTGTTGGTGATTTAGCTAAGAAAGAATATTCCAGGTTCTATAAAAGTGTGGTCGTTGATAACAAAGAAGTATTTTTGACTTTTGATAATGATAAGGATCGTTTGGACTACTTTTTGTGGAAATACACTGATTTAAAGATATATGCAAATCTACAGCACATTTTCGAAATTTTCCTCATTTTATCGCACGGATAAGCTCAAGTTGAACGAGGATTTAGCAGCAATAAAAGTCTGATCAATGACAATGTGTCCCCAGACACTATTATCTCTTTACGTTTAACCCAAGATTACCTCACATTTCATGGGTTCATGGTTCATGAAGTTCATGATAACAAAAGATTTATTCATGGTTCATGGTTCATGATAACAAAAGATTTATTAGATTATTGCAAACGAGCAAGAAAAAAGTATTTTGATGATCAACGTTTAAAAGCCCTGTCTGTAGAAAAAACAGTGAAAATAGAAGCAAAAAGAAAAATTATTGAAGATATTGAAATTGTCAATACTGAAATTCGACAGACATTATCTATGATTGAGAATTTAAAAAGGTCATCAGATGAAAATGGATTCCGTGCTGAAAAAAAGAATAACTAATAAAATAATTAATTAATTTATTTATAATAGTTTATCTTTTTATATTTAAAATTGATTGAAAAAAAAAAGATTCCGTTTTTAGTGTAATTGTTTTCTCCTTTATTCTCCTTACTTTTTCCTTTAAAAAATTGTCGTTCGCGACTGAATCTTCTTAAATAATAGGAAATCATCTCCTTAAATCTCCTTAATATCCTTAATTTTAGCCCCAGTTTTAGTAGTGGGAACCCTGAGTCCGGACAATTGTTTAAATAGGGAAAACAAGACTGAAAAAAATGAACTTTTCAATGCTTTTATTTCTAAGATTTCAAATTATATACAATACCTTAAAATGAAACTGATTTTTACTTTCTTATCGAATTTCAACAATATCTCAAATAACATGTTTATTCTTTGTTTGACATTAAAAGCAGTGGATCCATTCGGAACTCCGTCTCCTCGGATTTTATCGGTTTTTCGGAGTTCGAGAGAAATCGAATACTTCGACGAAATTATAAGAAAATATCAATTTTTTACTCGTAAAATAATTGAATTCTAATTTTTTTTTTCTACGTGGTTTTTATAATTGTCTATTATAATTTTAAAAATTGTTTTAAATGTAAGTGTTCTCTTTGTTCAATAACAACACTAATATACATCGTAAAGCAATTGATAATGCACAGTGATGATGGTGAAAAAAACCACAAAAATAGTTTGTTCTACTATTGTATTTATGTCCAAAAATGGATGCACGTCTAACTTATTGGAAAGTGTCAACTACATTACGTAAGCGTTAAGCAAAGAAATTCTGTCGATATTGCATTTTTGGACTTTGCAAAAGCGTTTTATAAAGTTTCTCATCGTAAACTACTACTCTCGAGTTCCTAATAAACTTCCCGCCCCGTTTATTAATTTTTGGATATTTTTCCCACCCACCCTAAGCTTTTTTTACTAAGCTTTTAATTTTTACTTGTTATCAAGAAAAAAAATTATATTTTTAAAGTAAAAAAACAATAGTAAGGACAAAACACTTGTGAAACAGAGCCGCTAGATGAATAATATGAATTATTTGATTATGATAAGAAATTGTGATAAGAAAAGATGCTGTTTTCATTGATGAATTTGGAGAACTTTTATGTAAGGCAGAAACATCTACCCAATTTATTCTACATCTTACAAGATTGAAACGGAGCTATATAACATCTCGCTATAAAAAGCCGTATTGAAAACAACTTTGAAGCCTTTGACAACGAACTGTTAGAAAATGAAGTGGAGCACCGCGATAAAAAATGATTCAATCAGGAACGGTTTTGAGGATCTATTTAAATAAAAAGATCATTTTTATATATTTTTTTTAAAGTTAATAAATATTGATAATTAAACTTTTTTTAAAGTCGTTCATTTTCTTTCGGTAAATTATTTTTGTACGTTACGGGTATTACATTCTCTCTCTGCTTACTAGGCTAAAAGAGGTTCCTTTTTTAAACAAAAAACACCTGCACATTTATTTTGTAGATAAAATCCTCATCCTACTACAAATTCAACCCCCCCCCTCTTTTATTAAATTTCAAAAATAATCTCCCCCCTCCTCGTTTATTAAACCCCCTCCCCCCGTTTATTAGATTTTGACTAAAATTCCCACCCATCCGTTTATTCCCACCCCCCGTTGTATTCGGCACTCGAGAGTACATAAATTGAAAGCATATG